TATCCTTAATGTTGAGGTGATAAACCAGAGGTAAGGCAGCTAGTAACAACATTCACCATCAACCTTTGGGCTACTCTTTACCAACGAATAATGGGATTGACCATCACATCATAACGCCCACACGGATAATAGGTCGAGCATGTTTGGGGATGAGTTGATGACATAAAATTAATGCTTTATTTACTGGAGAAAAGAGGAGGTGAGCTGAGATTTAATCGTCCGAGTGTACGGATCTTTAACATTGTGATTAAATTAAAACAAATAAGAAAAGTGTAAGTAAAAATACTCTAAAAAATACAAATACATAAAAATGGCCAAAATAAATCACGCAAGACATTTAACAACAATCATAGTAACAAAAACAAATTAATTAAAAACTAAACAAATGAAATATACCTATTTACACCTCGGGACTCCAGCAGATTTACTTAAGCTTGTTCAGTAGATCATCTGAGGCTGAGATGAAGAGAGTTTTCAAATAACTTTTATTGTCCAGGTCTACTTGAGTCTGGTCTTGGCTACCCCCTGTTTGATTCTGTAAAGTTTGTCAGCAGCCCTGGGATCCTCCTTTTCACGCCTCTGGCACTGATCCTCTTTTTGAAGCGTGCAAGCCCAGGTTACATTCCAGTATTTCGTTTAGGCTTAACAATGATTTCTTAAGGGGCACAGAAGTTAAACGTAAGATTATTTAAAAATATAGAATATGCTCGAATGTATATTTAGGAAACAAGAAAAATAACTATATTTATTGGTTATGTTCTCTTTTATATGGCATTGATATGACATCAAACACAATAATAGGAATCATTTTAATGATGATTTTAGCAGCACATATACTTTTTTGGCTATAAAAATATTGACAATAATAAATTATAATGATAAGCTGGATTTACTGATTCTAAATAATAATAATACTCTTATTCACAAATACGATAGTTCTGAAACTATAGTGGCACAATAGACTTAGGCTTTTATATAATTGACCTATGACATTGAAAAATCTCTTTTGAAGTAGGAGGTGAACTCTTATTATTCTACTATTACTGCTTGCATTAACTGTAGCCTCCGTGATGACTATATTTCTCCTTTTACATCTAAAGTTACCAACCATCTTAATTCTAATAGGCTTTCACCACAACTTGAAAATTGTAAGCGATGTGTGTGTGTGTGTAAAATATGAATGTACATTTCAGATTTAAGAAACTGTTATATATGTCTTATTATAAACCTTTAAGACTAATGTATAGCTGAGAGAAAATTATTAAAAACTAGCTTCAACGGAACCATATACTCCATCTTTGTACCAACATGGTGAAACACGTATGACAAAATTAGCCCAACCTAAACGAATAAAGATGAAAATTAATGGTAATAATGATATTCGAACCTTTATCTAAAACTATCCCGGTTAAACTTTAAACAGTCAATATAGGTATACCAGTGAAGTAGCTATCAAAGCTTTCTTTGTTCTGATTTAAAAGAACAACTAGTTACCTACATCGCTAACTAACAAGCGTTCCTATTTCAAACAACGAAGAAAACACCTAGCCTAAAATATAACTTTGATGCCTTCTTAGATTTATTGATCATGCATTTAACTTTAATTGCAACGACAACAATTATTAACTATAGATACTGATAATGTTAATGTCTAACTAATTTATCATCATAAACACAGTTTTTTTACTTGGATATTTGGTTTAAATATCCATCTCGTTCAGATGTTTCTACATTATATGGGAATACTGTTATAATCAATTTCTATATTTAACGTTCAAGCTACAAACTAAGCTCTGAACAATGTTTATATCGCCACCAGAGGATGATATATCAAATATATCAGAGCAGAATAGGCCCGGCATGGCCAGGTGGTTAGGGTGCTCGACTCGCAATCTGAGGCTCGCGGGTTCGAAT